TACTTTTTGGTGGCATTATTAACGTTTTTGTACTTTGAGACTAGGTATCGTTTAAGTAGTCGAGAGTATTTCCAGAACTGCAGTCTGAAAAATAAATTGCTTTTGTCAGAAAAAGTTTAATGAAAAGTAAAAGAGAAAATACCTAGCAAATTCGCAATCAGCTAGCCCATCAGTAGAACGAAATAAAAGTTGTGCAATAAGCTGAAAAATTGAAAAATAAATAACAATTGATAATTTTGTGCATCTTTTGACATACCAAATCCCTTATTGTGACATCATTTTCCATTTGCTCGTGAACTGAGCGAGCAAAGTTTCCCGTAAATTCATGTGTTTTGGCGTCACATTTGTACAGTGTACTCTGTTGGAGTTTGATAAACAGAGATCGTGTACCAAGTTCGTCCTGACAATACAAACGGTATCTGGTAAAACTGATTGACAAGAGAAAAACCTACTTCTAAAACGGGATACCCTTCGCGTTTGACATCGTAGTTGAACATTGCGCGAATGAGCAGCTGTGGAAGGTAGAACGCCTTTAGTATCAGCAGCTGAGAGTCGGAGTGCATCGACTTGAAAGACTGCAAGTTCTTGCAAAATGTGATAATTCTACGGGCGTAGACGGTTGGCCAGTTGATCAGATCTTCTATTGCACAAGTCTCCCTTGATTCAGGCAGCGTGCGCTCATCGACAAACACTGACATGGCATTCTGCAGCTCGTAGATCAGCTGTCGTTCACATTCACCAAGGCTACTGGCGTAGGTCCTCTTTCGGTGTTGTACTTTCGGTCCACTCGCCACCTCCATGGGTGTTTGTTGCGAAGCCACCACTTTTTCGTTGTCTTGATGGGTAGTTGAAATATGAAGTCGGTCGATTTGATGATGAAGAAACTCAAGGGCTGAACTTGATTGATCGTCTTTGGTGGGCTGATCATCAACATGAGTGCTGCCGGAGTGCTTCACTTTCATCCCGACTAAAGGAAAGGTAAAAAATTATTAAAGATCGCTAAACTCAAATAAATTTAGACCTCCAACATACCTGAGATGCATTTCGAGTAGCGGCAAAGCGAACAGCACTTGCGCGTTGCAACGTCTATTTGGCATTGATTGTCTTTGATGCATTTTAGTTTCTGCAACAAAAGAAAAACGGATTAAATTCTGACAAAATGATTGTTTGTTTTGTTACCTCAGCTCTGGTAGAGTTTCTAATGAAGAATGTACGACAGCTTACGCATGAAATTGCTGAGTAGTTGTATCCACATCGGGAATCATCACCACAAACTGAGCACTTGATGCTGCTCATTGCTGGAAAAATCAAAGTAAAATGTGCCCCAAAACAAGCTCAAAATTTGAGTAGTAGTGTTTGCCTTTTGGAGAGAAAGTCCTGATTTAGTTCAACAACATTGTAAAACATTTGTAATAAAAATGCACTGCAGCAGAGAGGGCGCTACGTTTGTTATCGCCCTCGTTGTTATTTCTGGCGCAAGATTCGCTGATAATATGCTTCAGAAGTTGAGTGCAGATGTGGTGATTGCCAATTTACTTAGTGATTCGCATAAAGAGAGTGCTTACGCCAGCAATGACCTACAATTATTACAGACAGTTTAAAATGTGAGCATCTGACCAGTGTTCACAGCTTACCACTTCAAACATCTGTGAATTAATTTGAACGCCATTGATAAGTGAGAAGCCGACTCGTCTGAACCCTCGATGCTTCGACTCGATGCCATCAAACTGTAAACAAAAGTTGCTTAATGTGCTTATGTCAAGACTGCAATGCCTTACCAGTAAAAGGTGATGAATATCGGACGGTTTGGAGCAATCCCTCATCAGCTGATAGGATATCCTTCTCAACATTTGCAGAATTTGCACATTCTTGACTACCACCATTGTGCACTTAGGGTAAAAAATGTACTCTCATTAAAATAGAATTTTTTAACTTGCTTCTACTTGCAGCTATTTACCTGAAACGTCATGAAGAGGAGCGTGGAGGCAAAGTCGAGTGGAAAGACGGTGAAGAATGACTTGTACTCGCTTTGCACTGAAATCTCTGAGAGGAAGATGAAGATGTACGAGTAGAAGCACACCTCGACGATGTACACGGCAAAGTAGCAGCTGAGAATGGGTCTCCAGAGGGCATCGTGGGCCTCAATCTGCTCATGCAGCCGCATCACCTGCTGGTAGAGACCTCGAAACTGAGCCAAGTGAGAGCTGCCCGACTGGCTAGCAGTAAACAGCAAGTGCTGCCTTGACGACGAGTGATAACTTCTGCTGCTGCCGCTGTTATTGCCAATTTGACGAGACAGCTTTATCAAGTTGGACAGCATTTCCGACTGCTGGATGGACACATAGCCACTGGTAAAAATGAAATAGTATCTAGTGAAAAGGGCACTGTGACACAAGTAAGCGTAGGTGATGGGCGTATAGAGAAGCAAACAGAAATCACGAATTGAGCCGGTAAAGTGGAGGATAAATTGAGATATGTGAAAGAATTCCGCTTGAAAAAACATGACACTCATGACCTAAAATTATTTGAGACATTTTAAAATGTGATCGTCAAACCAATGTTCACAACTTACCACGGCTAGAATGCGCTTTGTTTTGTTTCGGAAATAGTAAATCTTTTGGGCTTCAATTTGGGGTAACTCTAAAAATAGACAGGGTTTTAAAGATGACAATGTTGACAACACTTTCAACACGTTAAGTACCTCGATTGTTCATGTAAATCTTGAATGTTTTCATATTTTTGTTACCAACAAAGAACATAATAAACTTGAACTTGAGCATACATTTGTGCATTAGCGTGCTGTATATAATTAGGCCCATTAAAAAGCCTAAGTTCATTACAATGTCACTTTGAGGCCACAGTTCCTCGGGAAAGACCTTGTGAGTGAAAAGGTTGGGTAACCCTTTAGAAGAATAGGCAAACTTATTCTGCGCCAACACAACGAGCATATCCACCGCAATGTAGAATGACACAAAGAAGGCAAATGCATAGTGCTTTGAGATGGCCGAGCGTTTCAATGAGCGCTTTAAAAAGGATCGGTTTTCTTGACTGGCGTCTTTCAGTGGGTCAAGATTTCCAGCCAATATCTTCAAATGTTCTTCCAACTGATGTTTTAGTTGACCTGAAAGCTGAAATAACGGGTTCACCATAGTATTCCCAATAAAAGACATTTATTAAAATTATGTCATTTGTAAAAAAAAGTCAGTCGATTCAAGTTTTGCTTTTTCAATGAACCATTTGCCCTTATGTTAGAGTTACTTGTTTACTAAACCTGTTTACAACTTCTCAAATGTCAATTTTGCATTAGGACCTTTAAATATTTAATTTGTGCAGTTGCGTGCCTGAAATCTAAAAAGACTTGTACAGAAAAATTAATTTTGAATACATAAAGTGCTGCAACAGTATGTTCGTTGGAGTTACTTTAGTTATTGAATAATTTAAAGTAGTAAATCGAATAATCATTTTTTATTTGTCTTTCTGCTTTCTGCTTGTGTTGTCAACTACACAGCACACAGGCGGTACAATAAAAGAAAATGCATGGCTGTGTGAGGAGAGCCTTCGGACATTACATTACGATAGTGGGATCAGCTCACGTGCTGATAATTGCAATCACTGTTTTTGCTTCACTGATTAAAACGGCCTTCACAACAACTCAAACTTTAGTGGAAATTTGTTACATTTGTAAGGGTACCGCCAGTGAGAAAAATGTGCAAATGATTAGATTGAAAAGCATTAAACTAGTCGTCTATATATACGAGGATTCTAACCAAAACTGACAATACTGACAGTAATCCTGCAAAGTCCTGCAACTACTAAAAAACATCTAAAAATGGAGTACTGGACAATTGCCTTGCAAGTAATTGTTGCTTTGTTAGCAATTTACTAGTAAGTTGTTTGTCTATTCATTGAACCGTTTAAATTACTAAATTATTTATTTACTTTTTCAGTTATATTAATCGCCGGTACAGCTTTTGGACGGATCGTGGAGTTCCAGGGCCCAAGCCAAAGTTTTTAGTAGGCAACTTTTTAGATTTGTTTTTGTACGGTCAAGTGAACATGGAAAAGAAATGGGCGGCAAAGTATGGCAAGAGTTATGGCGTAAGTGATATAAAACAAATTTTAAATAAGACAATAACAACTTTTTGTATCAGATTTATCAAGGCTTGAATCCGGTTTACACAATTCTCGAGCCTGAACTTGTGAAGACTGTTCTTGTCAAAGGTGAGTTTCTTTGGCGTTTTTGGCTTCTCAATGAAACAATGAAATCCGTTTTTAGACTTCCCAACATTTGTTAACCGTCAAGTGAATTTGAATGATCACGAAATTTTGGCATTGAATCTTTTCAACTCTGAAGATGTAGTGTGGCGCCGAATTCGAGCAATTACATCTCCCAGTTTTACCAGGTTGGTTTTAAGACTTTACCGCCATTTGAAAACACTAACATTTCTCATTTACTAGCGGAAAACTCAAAGGAATGCACGGATTGATGAACAAATCAGTCGATAAACTGTGTGATTATTTCTCCAAAGCAATCAACACTGATAGTGGAAATATGAACATTAAGGAAGTGGCTATGGGGTTCACGATTGACGTGATAGCCAGCACATCGTTCGGTACTGTTGTTGTGCCTACCCAACATTTTAAAACATTTTGTAAATAAACTCATTTTATAACAGGTACCGAAACAAACGCTAACGATGATCGATCCAAGAAGAATCCGTTTTTAGAGAACGGCGTTAAAGTTTTTGATTTTAACTTTTTCCGATTCGTGCTTTTGTTTCTGTTGCCCAAAAAGTTCAACAAGTGGATTAACAACGAAACTGGAGGAGATCCCAAAGTGATGAACTTTTTCATTGACTTGTCCCGAGAGATCATCAAGCAGCGCAGAAGGCAAACAGGCGCCAAACGCAATGATCTCGTTCAGCTGATGATGGACGCTTTTGTATATGATGAAGATCTGAAGGGTTTCGACAAGTTGGAAACCACTGAGGACCATGGTAATTCTTGTTGCAAGCAAATTGTTTCATTTTACTAAAAACATTACAATTTTCAGATCACGAGAAGACAGTTGAAAAAGAGCACAAAACTGGCTCAATCAAACGCTCTTTGAGGTAAAAATGGTTATTTTAAAACAATTTACAGTTAGTTACCTTATATTTAATCTTAAACAGCGAAAACGAAATTATTGCTCAATGTATCATCTTTTTCTTAGCTGGGTAAGTGTAATAACTTTTTAACTTAAAAATTGTACTTTAACATATGCTTTTACACTAGGTTTGAAACTACCGGAACTGTAAGTCCTTTTACTCTTGTTTCCAGTAAAAAATATCAATTTTTACTTTTCACAGACCATTGCCAACGTTTTGTATAACTTGGCACTCAATCCGGACGCTCAAGAACGACTGCACTCAGAATTAGAGATGGCACTAGAGGGAGTAGACGAGAACAGCAGCGAGCACTTTGACATAGTTAACGGAAAAATTCCTTACTTGGAAGCGGTACGTTGCACTTGTTTACATCGAATAGTTTTCAACAAGTTTTTTAAACACTGATTCTGTGTAGGTAATCAAAGAAACGCTGAGAATGACGCCGCCAGTGCCGCGACTTCAACGTCGTGTAGGCACTGACACCTACAAACTGAACGGAGTGACCCTGCCAAAGGACGTGACAGTGGAGGTGGCCGTGTACGCGATTCACCATTCCGACGAGTACTACCCGGAGCCCTCAAAGTTTAACCCGGATCGATTCATGCCGGAGAACAAGCACAAACTAGTCCCCTACACCTATCTGCCCTTTGGCGCTGGTACGTTTTTTCACATGATTATCAGTAGTTTCAGTTGTTATAAACTTGTTCTTTTCTTTCAGGTCCTCGAAATTGGTAATTTGGAAAAAAGCTTTTAAAAGTTACTGAGACTTACTGAATTTTATTTACAGTGTTGGCATGCGATTCGCCTACCAGGAGCTTCGTCTCTGTCTCGCCAAGATCGTTCGCCAGTACAAGTTTGCCCCCACGGCAGAGACTGAAATCCCTATGGTCTACAACAAAATTGGCATTGTCAGCGCAAAGAACATCCAGCTGCAAGTAAGCAAGTGGTGAACCAAGATAAGGATTTTTTGTAAATACTACAATCGTAAATTATTGAATAAACAGCATGCATTCAAGCAAGTTTTTCCTCGGAAAGTCTAATGCTGTTTTCTCCACTTTCGCTTCCACCTTGCAGTCGCCACCTCTGCTGCGAAGATTACGATCTCCGAGGTAGAAGCAGGAGCAGCAGCAGCACTGAGCGACAGTTGTGATGGTCAAGTCTTCGACGCTGTATTGCACACTTGTCCACGCTTAGCTTCAGTGTGGTGTTTGGGCAGTTTTGTACAAAGCACACTGTGTGTGTGTCCGTTGCTCTGGCAATGGACTAGTGCTTCTACTTGCCCACAGTGTCGCAAAGCACTTTCAGTCTTNGTCAAGTCTTCGACGCTGTATTGCACACTTGTCCACGCTTAGCTTCAGTGTGGTGTTTGGGCAGTTTTGTACAAAGCACACTGTGTGTGTGTCCGTTGCTCTGGCAATGGACTAGTGCTTCTACTTGCCCACAGTGTCGCAAAGCACTTTCAGTCTTCTGCGCACATAGCTGCTTGGGATGGTGGTCGTGGTGGTGGTGGTGGTGGTGGCCACTTTTGCACACAANTGGTCGTGGTGGTGGTGGTGGTGGCCACTTTTGCACACAGACACAGGCACAGACACTGGCCATGCGTTGGCCTGAGCTTGGCCTGTGGCTCACAGTTGGCGCGCTCTCTCTGTCGCTCCTGCTCCTCACCACCGTTCAAACCACCGAACAGCCAATGGAGCTCTACTGAAAGAGGCGCGGCTAATCCGAAAAAAACTGCGTTTCACTCAATGCGTTTTCACGAGTAGTAGTAAACACACACACACACAGCCTGTGGTGCGAATGTGAGAGTGTACCTCGGACAGCAGCAGCAGCAGCAGCCTCCTGTACTTGCTCAAGATCACCCTCAGACACACTTGATCAATTGCTCTTCAGCTGTTCCTCTCTCTTTCACTGTTCATCGCCCACCTCTAAAGATGGCCACCACCACCAACTCCACAAGTATTAAGGAAATGATGGGCCTGCTCGGCCTGGTCAGCGTGGCCCTCGTCCTCAGTCTGGTCGGCCTCGCCCAGTGCGGCATCATCGACGATGCGAACTCCGCCCTGAACGCCCTGGCCTGTCCGCTGCAGCACACCAAGAAGTACGACACCTGCACCTCGGTGGTCAACCCGCTGTACACCGTTCAGCCGAAGGTGCTCGGCGACGAGCGCAAGGGCCGATGCTGCTCCTCGCTGGCCCGTCGCGACTGCACCAAGGCCATCGCCTACCTCTGGTGCGGCTCGGAGAGCAACCCCGCCGAGGTGGTGGTGGACGTGGCGAAGGCCCTGAACGTCGACTGCATCAACGGCACAGACGGTCTCACCGACTGTCTGCACCCCGTCGCCCTCATCATCATCATCGTCCTCTTCCTCTGCATCATCTTCACGCTTATCAAGTGTATCTGCAGCTGTCTGTGCTGCCGTCGGCAGAAGTAGAGGTACGGTGAGCGGTAGAAAAAATTAGCAAAGTAAAAACAACAGCAACAACAACAAGAATATCTTGCAAACAAATGAGTACTGCCCATTAGGAGTACTGCATCACCATCAGCACCGTTACTACCACCACCACCACCACCAGCAACAACAACAACAACAGAAGCAGCTGAGAGGCTAATTAGCACCTTAAGACCACCTTGAATGACTGCTACTCTCTCAGGGCGCACTGAACTGAACCAATCGCCTATGGCTTATTCAATACTCACTGTGCCATTGACGCGTTTACCAATATGTATAAA